CTAGGCCTCCACCCCCGAACCTATGCAGATACGCTTAGGGACGAGTCCCTGATTGCACCTCTCTACAGCCTCCCCACTCAAGTCCAACGCACTCTGAATAATATGCTCAAAGCCACCAACGACTCGGGTGCTGACACACAGTATGCAAGCCAAATATTGGTTGACCTGGCTCAGTGTGTGGGAACCGTGAACATCAAGGTGGTTGCATCTCAAGCAACATTGAAGGTTGCGTATGCTTTCACCACCCCTCCCTTTCATTCCCTAAGGTCCACCCCCCCTCCACCCCTCCACCCCACTCCATCGCGCCCTAAGAAATGGCCCGAGGCATGGTGCCCTCCCTGTTGCATTGTGCTGGATCCGCCATTCAACACCCTCCGCTGCCTGCCCACCGATCTCTCCATGTTTGGGAGCTGAGTGGAGGCTGCGCTCTACACCCCCCTCTTGCTTACTACCCCCTGTGCAGAGTTGCTATGCAAAACCACACGCGATGGTTACTGCGTCCAGTTCCCCAAGCCATTGGCTACACAGGTGAGGGGCCTCCACCACCTTACTGTAGACGGTGCCTGCCAGGCAGGCAGCCAGGCACTGCCTGCTAGACCTGCACCCCTCTCCACACCACTACCCACCAAAACCTGCCGACCCCAATGGGCAGTACCCACTATGATTGCTTTGTCATGATGGGCATCCACCCCTCCCTTGTCTCTGCAGCCCTGCTCATAGAGTTTGCGCAATTAAACGCCCCCTATCTTGACATGTCTGAGGAAGACATCAAGGCCTAGGTCACCTCTGCTGATCGCCTTTGAAGGCAGTCTGACCAACTGAGTCGGTTGAGGCTAGTGGCCCCTCCTCACGGGCCGGGTCCCTCTCCATCCAATTCTTAGCCACCCCAGCCTTTGTGGCATTGTGCTAGTGTGCAAATCCGCTGATACAACGAAATTAATGGTATGGGGCGCCTTCCCTCTTTTAGTTGTGGACCCGCCTCGCTGGGTACTTAGGTCCTTACGGGGACCTAGGCGGGACCACCCCGGCCTACTCATATATCATATCGTATAACAGAATAAGGTCTGGTTGGGGTGGTGTTACCATATCTTGGGCAGGGCGTCCCCCACACCAAGAAGCCAGTAGTAGGGCGTCCCCCACATCAGGCCAATTTGTGTAATACAATATATGCAATTTTGCAATACTCCCATACAATAGGTTGCACTCGAGATCTTCCTATCTGATCCGTGTGCCTTTGGTCGTGCTGGCTGCCGTGTCGGCGCCAGCCTGCCTCCGCCCCTGTTGCGAAAGTGCCGCCCCAGTCGGTCGGGGCTTCGTGTCAACTTCCCATCGCCGGCAGCATCGCGTTGGGCGAAGGAGCACCAGGTGGAGTCTGTCTACCTCCCCAGAGGGTCTGACAGAGGCAACAATACACTTTTCACTATACGTGCAGTTGTATAGGTGGTGGTAAGTGAAGTCCCTCAAGTGGATACACCGCCCTCAATCACATAAATAGCAACACCTTATGAAATTAGGTGTTACCGCTTACTTACAGATTATAGTTTGGTCAAACATACACACCAGATCACGCCGAACCCTAGTCCGACCAGTCCACTGTTACATAAACACCACTTCAATATAGCTTGTGACCCAACCTTGCATATACCATGCAAGTTTACACACCCTGACACCCTATACTTCTGTTAGCATGAGTCAATAACTAAGATGTATTGGTAATTACTTGTGAGTTCTAGCCCCACAACCAATATTCTTCCCCAGGCCTCCCCACCATGTCGCAACCCAATATCCTTTTATGTAAGCACCTATGGAGTGTAGACATGCACTCCGTGTTGGACCCAACCACAGGCCCTCGCGCAACTCATGCTGAGTTACCCAACATTCCGGATCCCGGCATGTCACAAGTCAAAACTAGCCCTGTCAAAAACCCTGGTCAAAACGCATATACACGCCCTGTTGCACACACCTACCTTCCCCAGCCGGTCAGAACTAGCTCTCAGCGAGCCCCTCAGGGGTTGAGGGTTGAGGACTCAGCTCACGCCGTGCATTGCTTTCCGGCGCACTGCAATACTCTAGGCACCATCTTGGTATAGGGATGCACAACACCATCTTTCCGGCATCCTGACTACTCGACTCTACTCCGTCTGTCCGACTCATTTAATGCAGCCCCATTTTCATATAATGATCTAGGTATTTTGCAGCACTTTCCTGTGTCTAAAGTGCATCCGCACTGGGGTGTACATTCCCCTTTACAGCACCACAAAAAGTGCCCTTTTCTGTGACTTAAATGGTATCATACTCGGGCCATCCCATCCAGTGAGGTCGTCAGCTGTGGTTGTGAAATGAACCAGAACGAGTACCATGAAAGCAAAGATGGTTGTTCATCATCATCATCATTTTTTACAGAACAAGGCAATGAGCAAAGATGGTTGTTCACTACAGTCCATTTTGCAGTACTTCGAACAGGCTCCAATAAATGTTCGCCTGACGTTAACTATGCCGTCATTACACCCAGCGAGGCGAACCCCCTGTTCACCTTTTGCACCCGCACACCGCACGACAGGCAACCTTCCCAAACCAGCCATGGAAGGGCACCAGCGCAGGGGGGGCGGGGGAAGGCACAGGCGCGGGCGCGCACGGGGTCGCGGCAATCCAATCGACGCCGAAGGCGGATTTGCGGGCGGCGGTGCCCAGCAAGCGCTGTATGGTCGTCCTGGGGGTGCTTGGGATCACGGGGACGATTGGGCACCGCGGCCGTACGATGGTTCGAGATCGGCAGCCTCGGAGGGAGGGCAGGGTCGAAGGGGGAGGGGGCGATCGGGCGCAATGCTGCATCAGCACGGGTCGCGCTCCCACCAGCCCTACCACCACGATCACGGCGGACGTCAGCGGTGGCACCAGGACCGGGGGGGACAGTGGATGGGGTCAGAGGCTGAGACCAGGTCGCCGAGAAGCCGCGGGCACTGGGGGGGGCATTCTCGTGACCCCACCGGGCGGCATGGGAGCCCCGAGGGCGGGTGGGGTGTTGATCACGGCCACAACCCGATGGGGAGGCAGCAGCATTCGGAGGGTGGGTGGGAGGGGGATCGCAGGCGAGATTGGCGCCAGGCGTCTGGCGGGTATGGTGGAAGGTGCGAAAGGGGCCACACGGGGTGGGATGGGTCTGAAGGGCCTGTGATTGCGGGGGGGTGGGAACAGGAAGGGGTTTCAAGTTGGGGGGAAGTCGAGGGGAGGCGAGCTGCCCATGGAAAAAGGGGTGGCGTTGAGGTCCACGAAGGCGACTCGAATTGGGGCAATGATCAGCAGAAGGGAAAAGGGAGTGGATGGGAGCAACACGACACGTATCGCAGTGGTTGGGAGGCCGCTTCGTCACAAGAAGGCACTCAAGCGACGGGGGATTGGCGTTGGGCACTCCAGGGCCCGCCTCAAGGAAGTGCTGACCAGTGGGATGCAGTTCCTAACATCAGCAGGAATGAGCAGTGCGCAGCTGAGCATCAAGCAGCACCTCCGCCACCGCCGATGCTAAGTGTTCCTCACTCAGGTGTACCTTCTTGTTCATCATCATGCAGGTTTGAAAGTCAGTGGTGCGAGTTCGATGTATTTGTTCCAGACATCGACTGGTGTGGTGCTTTCGGAATGACTCAGGAGCAGGTGGAGCAGCACGAGTGCCCCGACACAGGTGCCGATGTGTGGGTGTGGCCGCAAGGCTGCAGGACATGGGTGGCAGATACACTCGAACGTGTGGAGAAGGGGCTGGCTGAGTTGAAGAAGTCGATGAAGGACAGAGTGGTGGCAATCGATTTGGAGTGGAAAGCAAGGGACCCAGACTCGCTGGTGGCACTGATGCAGCTGGCCACCAGCACGTTCTGCCTGTTGGTGCGAACGTGTCAATTCAACTTTGAACTTCCTCAGTGCATCAGAACCTTCCTGATGTGAGTTCCCATGAATTAAATCTATCCGAATGTGGCAAACTGCTGCATGTGTAGATAATAGGAATTGGTCAAAAGCACCACTGTTGGTTCCCAATGTCTTCGTGCTTGAGGTCCCTGCTTCCTGAAGTGTGGCAGAAACATGCCTTGTTGTGTGCAATGATGCACGGAGTGTGCAGCCGTGCTTTGCAACAATATGCCACGTAATGGCAACGACTCCCCTAAATCCTGCACTGCACAATCGGTGGACTCGTTCAATAAGTGGTCATCGACTGTGTTTTCTAACACATGGCAAGACACTGGGCTTTCATTTTGTTGACATGGCTGATGCAGTCTTGATGTTGCAAGGAATATGCTTTCTGGCTGCAAGGAACAAGCACTGTACTTTTTTTTTATGGTTTTGAAAAGGAATGCAACAGGCATGTCTGCTGCACATCCACCTTGACGAATTTGATGTCACTGAGAAGGCTGATTGTTGTTCTGATCCAATCTGCTGAATAACATGCACCTTTCCCATTCTTTAATAATGTATTTCTTGTGGGTGTAGGGGGTAAACCTGGACCAAAGTGAAGTTCAGCTTTGTCCACGCTCAGTTGAGGCTCAACCTATTCCAGATTAAGGTTCAACCTAGTCCAATGTGGGTTATGACCCTACAAGCAAGAAAAGCCTAGACCCTCAATGTTAAGAATCCAAAATCCTGCAAACAAAATCCCAACAACCTTCATGACCTTCATCTCCTGAACGATGGGTCCCAGACAACTTTTGGCTGGGTGTGGCTGGACTATGTTGAAAATCAATTCGGACTAGGTTTTTCCTCGATTTGGACTAGGTCGGACCTCCGTGCGGCTGGACTTACTGAACCTCAGTTTGGATTGGGTTGAGCCTCAGTATGGACTAGGTTTCCTGCACTGAGTGTGGACTAGGTAGAACATTAATTTGAACTGGGTTGAACCTATTTTCTCGTTTCGTTACGTTCACTGTGCTGTGCTGCCATGTTTCAGCGATCCTTCGATTACGCTGTTGGGCTTTGGTTGGGATTCCAGCGACGATGACAAGCTGGCATTGTCCTTCAACATGGTGAAAGGCAACTTTGGCAGATTCCTCGATCTGCAAACTGCCATCAGAGAGTTGGCGTATCCCACAATTGGCATTGCTGCGCTCACGGAGGCTGTCATGGGTACTGCACCCAAAAAGAGCAAAAAGGTCACAATGTCGAATTGGGAGAAGTACATGCTGAATCCATACCAGATCTTGTACGGCTCTTGGGATGTCTTCATGTGCGGACTGGTGCTGAGGCAGCTCCGGCACTGGCATGCAGTTGGCATGGAATGCACATCATGTGGACAAAACTTAGGTGGGTAGCGATCAGCAAAGAAAATCCGTGAGATGTTTGAAACCGCGGCAAAATACATCTGAACTCTAGGAAGAGCCCAGCTCGAGAGGTGTTGGGGATACCCCTATAACAGGGTACGTCTGTTCCATTGCTCCATTGTGTATTGTGTATTTCGATTTCTGCAGTGCTTGGCTTCAAGGCCTTCCCAACTCCAAAATGGAAAATGTGGATCATTGACATTGCACGATAAGTCTCGGATGCACATGTAATGGCAGGCCTGAGTTTAGGAAGGAAAGGGGGTGCTTGCTAGCATGCTGTGTACCGTGGTGTGAATATGAGTGCACATTACAGTTGGATGCCAGTTGCTGAGTATGTTGGCAATGTGTGGCGGTGGGAGAGGTTCCCTTGTCACGGACAGACCTGTGTTTTACTTGGAGTTTCAACACCAGTTGGGGCATTGGTTGTGCAATGCATCCAATCAGGGAGGCAACATGTCTGTGTCACATTTTGTTGCTTCGCCTCAGCATCACCACCTTGTGAAAAGCGCCACTCCCACTTTTCAAGCTGCCCATGTTGTGCCACATGAACTTGCAGAGGGACGATGCGTGGTGCTCTTGCTGGTAGTCGCGTTCTTGGTCATAGTTGGATGTTCTTGAGAAGCCCTGTATGGTCACATCACGGTGGCAATCTGTTGGGGTTTGCAAACATTACCTCCTACACAATGATGAAGGGCGAGTGACGATGGATGCACCTGTGCCCATTCGCTTGCGTTTTTTCTTGTGAAACCATTGGGAGCGCAGCTCTTTGCCCATGTTGAACCGCCAGCCTGCTGTTGGGCCATTGCGCCCAAATCCAACGATTGCATGTTTGCGTGCTGGCTGTTTTTGCCGATAGTGCCCCTACCAGTGCTGCATTTCGGAAGAAAGCCCTTTGTCATGAAGACGATCTATGCTCTTGTCAAATACATGCGAGTTGTTCGAATTGTGCCATGCGCAATTGCTGTGTGTGAACAATCCATACATGTTCTGGTGCTTCTGATGTTGGCAACACATGCGAGTCCATACCCAGTACTGACACCTCCAAGGATTGATGAATGTTTAGGACAGCGCTGCGAACAGCCGATTAGGCTGACGTGCCCTTGTGGCAAGGAAGCGGCCAGCCTTCATTCGCTGTGGAGCCACTGCAAGACGAAGGGACATGATACTGTGCACCAGTGCGACTTGTGCAAACGAATTGTCTTCGGATAGATGCTCAGTTCTAAAGAAGTCAGGCTACACAGACATAGACGCCACCTGTTGGAGAGACGAACCTAGGGGGGAACGCAGGAGAGTATCAGACTGGAGCTGTCTTTTTCTCTGGTGGGTGCACTGAGGGTGGGTGGGTGGGCTTCCCAGAGGTGGCGTTGCCGCCATGGGGTTACTGTAAACGATTTTGCCGCAGTTAACAACAAACTGAAGCCAAGCCGCCCTCCTCCCTCTTCCAAACAAGGTGAATCATCAACCAAAAGGCAATAGAAAGCGTGGCAGCAATAGGCTACGTAGCACTGTCTGGAAGATCCCCGTAGTCATACGTTACCTGCCCATTGAAGTTGTGGTCATTATAAGGCGTCACAAGAACAGCGTTGCTCTCTCACTGCACCATCAGCTAAACCAAAAACGATATTAATATCTTTTTGACATCAGTCGTGCAGGACAGCTGGTGGCGTACATACCATTGTGATGTGCTCCAGGTGTCAATGGTGCATCGTGGTTGGGCTTCCTGCATTGGATCCAGCCGGTGCTACATACGAAATATACTAATGCCCTTGGCCAGTAGAATTTTGCCTGATAAATGTCCAGGCTTGGGGCTGCCTCTCCCGGACATTTTGCCTGCATTTCGACCACCAAGTCGGGCAATTCGGGCAAAACAATGTCACAAGCCCCATCCCGCTAGCCCCAGTCCTTTCCTTTCTTCGGTTCGGCAATTACAAATCGTTCATTGCCTCCAACATCTGGTGTACCTACCAATGTCGAGGTCCCCTCACTGTGCCATGCGGGAAGGGCCCACGGCATTGCTATTCATGAAAGGAGGCGCTCCGCTCCACTCCCTGCCCCCATCCCCCTCAAAGCCTCCCTGTTCCAACAACTAAATGGGCACCAAGTCACTTCCCACACCTGCTGTGAAAATGCAACAACAATATGTTTTCTCCTCCATCCCCATCCCTGGAACAAGCTCGCAGCCCCTAAAGGGCCCAAGCACACCCGATCCTATTGCCACCATCGGGCACAGCGGAATGTCATCCTGCAGTTTCCTCGAGTTTCTGCCCCTGTCTTAGGGCTGAGCTCAGCACATTGGCATAAGGCTTTTTCGATTTGGGCTTCGCCACCTTTGGAGCTGGAGGGGGAGGCGGCTTCACCCCTCTGCGCGACCTGCTGACCTTTTCTGACTTGGCTGCTTCCCCTCGTTGTGGGTGTTGCGGCTTGAGAACAGCCACAGGCGCATGGTCCTGCACCACAACAATGCCAATAAGCCCAGTCGACCAAGATGACATAGTCCATGGGACTCTCTGTGTTTACTTGTGATAACCCTATGCCGATCGCCTGCCTGATGGCACAAGGCAGAGCTTGCGCGATTTGTGTTGGAACGAACAGGCCAGAAACTCAGGAAACCTGTGCTATCCATTCCGCCAGCCTGCTCCTGGTCGCGTGCGACTCACACACTTCCCTTATACTGTGCTCAATAGGGGCTTGCTGCCAGGCTTGTGCACTCTTGTGGCAGCTACATAACTCTGGCGCAATTAAGCTGAATTCCGATTCGCACCTCAACAGTCGGTGGGGGTTGTCTCGGTGGGTGTTCCTCAACGATTTGTTCAAGCTCCTTCCCAGTCAACTCCATGTTCTCCATCAGGGCGAGTGTGGCTGCTTCGAGGGCGTCGCTATGGCGGGACAGCACATCCTACAGCAGGACCAAATGCACTGCTTAGCCACAGCCAGTTCGCTTGTGCCACGCTCCAATCAAAAGCGTTCTTTCCCAGCAAGTTGAAGAATGGTGATAACCCCTTCCAGCGTCCCATGTTTTTTCCAGCAGAGTTGTTGGGATCCAGTGTCCTTTTGATTTCTGCTGTGCATACAACGGCGCTATTCTGGAGAACGTCCCAGGCAAACACACCCTACAAGACAGGGACTATGCGGATGGAAGCACCATCATGGGATGGAAGGTTGAGTTGCCTAAAATGGCTGGGCTAAGTAAGCCTCAATACAGTCCTTGTCCGCTTGAGAAGCGCAGTGTGTGGCATTGTTCAAGCACTGATACTATACACACGTCAATTATGCATTACATCCTACTGCAGAACCTGTCAGATAGTGGAGCAATGCTCAGGCCACAGGCATGAACCACACTCCCAACATCACCAAAAGCCCAGGCCACCCACCAGGCAATCTGCATAGGCTTCACGAAGCATTTTGTGAATTTCCATCAACATCCTGCACATAAAGTGAAATGCCCACTCAGCGTAAAGTGCCAAATCGAAATCAGCGACAGAAATCCCAAGCCATGCGTTCTCTTGAGTATCTGCATGCCTGCTTTGGCAAGCTGCAAATGTTACCAGGGCCTGAATGCTACAACATACATGCACCCACACAAAACATGCAAATCAATATCATGGGTTCAGTCCACCTTGGGTGAGTGTCTTGGTGCAAGTGCACTGATAAGATCAGCATTCTTTGGTTGACACCATATCCATCGCAGGGCTTAATCCCAGAGTTCTCCACACCATAAATGCAACACTTGGCAGGCACAAGGACACTCAGGGGCAGAGGTGTATGTACTGCAGCCCACTCCTTACACCACAGATATTAATTCGTCAGCACATATTGGACTTCACAGCTTCTTGAGTTCAAGCAATCAATGGGAGATGTTGCCCTTCATCACCTTGATGGCATGGGGACAGTATATTGTTGAAGTTTGAGCAGCAAGACCCAAAAAAGACATCAGCAACAACACTTGCCTGCTCCAGATTGTGTGAGTAAGCTCATGATGCTGTGAAAACGCAGCTAGATGTGGAAACAGTGTCACTTTGGGAGCTCCAACTTGCACAATCAATCCATCCAGAAGCCACCATGGGCACACCTGTTTACTTCTAATTTGACTCAACCTTTCCACTGAAACATAGGCACCTTGGGCACCAGTGGTCATATCCCAACAGGGATGAATCGATCATTCCTGAACCACAGCAAACCACTGGCCCTAACACATTCTTACTTGTGCTGGCCTATGTCCGACGGCTGAAACATGCCACCCTTAAGACCCCTGCCGAACAAGTCCTCATCGATGTTGTCCACATTCACTTCAAAGCTCCGCTTCATGAAGCCTGCGCCCCTCGTCACAGGTGCATAGGATGTAATGCCCAATGGTGACATGGCGTAATTGCACACAATCTTCTCTACCAGCCTGCACATCCACCATCATCGCAATGACAAGCACAGCCACTGCCAGTCTACAAACGAATGTTTCCTGGTACAGGATGCTCATTTCGACATGCACACATAGAGCACATCAATGCCCTGCTCTTTAATAGAGGAACTGCGGTGTGATACACACACATGATGGTGTGCCCTTTGAGGCATTTGCTTGGAGAGATGGCTGAGAGTGCTGATTTAGCATGTGACGCATGATGCTACCTTTATACCACTCCACTCTGCTAATTTCCAAGATACACAAACATTCGCATTCGAATGAGTGTGGAGATTCTTTGCACATGATCACTCCCTCCAACATAACAATGGATGCTTGCAGAAATTCCCCCATCAACCAAACTGCAAACACAATAGTTTTGTTGCAAGAAGTTGCACAATCAGGAGTTCCCCAAGAGTCGCAACCTTCTGCAAACATCACCAGGACATCAGGACCAACTAGTTTAGAAACTGCAGCAGAATGGCCATGTTCATAGCCCCAGGGACACAGACAGAGCGAAGCGGAGGTTAAGGAATGTGGGCTCACCTATATGCCATCTCCAAATCCTTCACAGCATAAGATGTTGCACAACCCAGCACAAGCTCTTCTGCAGCACGACCAGCAAGTATGACTCGCACACGTTCTAGAAGGCGAACCTTGGTCGTCATCGTATAATCCTCATCTTTTCCACGGTAAAAGATGGTCCTTGTCCAGTCCTTTCCTCTGGCAATCATAGACACCCTCTCAACTGCCTCTAACCTTCCTGTGGCATTCCTGATGACGATGGCCACAATGGCTCGGCCGACTTCGTGGACAGCCATCGCCTTGCCGATTTCCAGCTGGTCGGGCTGGGCAGGACGACGTACACCCTGGCCATTAAGTCCACAGGTAAGAGAGCAGTGCTGGGCAGAACTGTGCGGCAACACCACTGTTCAATTCCCACTATGCTGGTGGCAGTGTCCAAATTTTCAAGTACAACAGAGTGTGAAACTGCACAAAAAGGCACAGAAACAGACACATCAACGACACACATGCCCTCTTCCTTCGTCGTGACCTTCTTATCCACCCCAGCAGAAAGTGTGCCAATCGCTATCAATATACACTTTATTGGCTTGCTGGTCCAGTTCCATGTGGCATGGCCTCACTGGCCAAGTCAGGCAGACAGAAAGGGCAGCACGATGGCCAACTAAATTCATCATGACTTGGCTACTGCTACAGAATTCCAAGCTGGAGCCCCAAGCCTTATCATCATCTTTTGGCAACTTAACCTGCAACGGCGCTTCTTATATCAGTACCATGTGGCAACACATCAGTGCCCACCAACTCTCAGTGCATGGGAGATTCGAACAATGGACAGTACCATCACCTTGCATTCCAAGGCATGCTGCATCCACACCACACTATGCATTGTGGTGTGCCAGATCTATTCTGCCCTGACGGACGTTGACATCACACCTGCAGGACCCTCTCCACAGCATTGTATACATCTCTGGGAGTTATGATGTTTGAACCCCTTCGAACGGCCTCCAAGGCAGACTCGTTCAGGACGTTCTCCAGCTCGGCACCAGACAGGCCAGGCAGGTCTCGGGCAAGTTGTTCCAGGTCAACGTCATCAGCCATCTTGCGCTTCCTGGCATGAACCTGAACAGCAAACAAAAGCTGGAGTATCTACTTGGACTGTAACCAAACTGCGAATACAAAAGTGTGGAAGCAGAAATGTCTGAAGCAGCACAGAACATCGCCGCCTGAGGGGCTGGCAAACACAACACATGTCAGCAGGCAGTTGCATCAGGCTGGCACTTTGCAATCATGCCTGATGGACAACCATATCATCAGCAAACAAGAAAGAGCAGTGGTTTGCCGTATTTTGACAAATGGTCTATCATGATAAATCAAGAATCCCACATGGAAATTGGACATGATGCAACATCCCACGATCCATCAATCATGCTCCCATATCTACTATTGTTTCACATTCTGAGCACACACACACCCACACACACACCTTGAGAATCTGGAAACGGGCCTCTGTATCAGGCTTCAAAACGCGCAGTTTCCTGTCAAACCTCCCCGGTCGGCACAACGCTGGGTCCAATAGATCAGCCCGATTCGTGGCACCAACAAACACAACACCTTGCTCAGGAGTGAACCCATCCATCTCTGTCAAGAGCTGGTTCAGTGTCTGCTCCCTCTCCTCGTTTGTCTGAATTCCTGCATCAGCGACACAATCAAGATCAGAATGGTGGAAGCTGATGCTGCATGGATGGTATGGCAACAGTGTGCAGCTTGCACAAAAGTGTGTGTGGGACCCATAAGGGTACAATGTCAATTCAACCAGGCCGTCAAGCCGTATGTATGGGACCTTCAGACCTCAATGATCCAGCAGCACCACACACCACTGTATTCAAGCCCAAAGATTTCATAGCCACAGCTTGCAATCTGGTTTTGGCATAGAAGGCGTGCAGAATGCACAGATGGGTGAAGGTGCAAGTGAGAAGACACCATGCAAACGGTGCCCAAGTGTTGCCCACAGGTAGAGTTGAGAAACACTTGCGGACAAGCTGCCGGGGTTTTGACTCGTTGACATACAGAAGTTCCAGTAAAACAAAACCAGGAAACTATTAACTACAGGGCAACTATGTTGCTGCAGGACATTATTCATTCAGACAAGAAATTAAAAGGTTAGCTCTCACACGAGGATGCACTCAGCAGAGCCTCCAGCACCCTGTCTGTTGCAACAACGCTCCAACCTCCAATCAAAGGTACACACACCTGCCTCTGCTCGCTTGATGCCCAGGGCATCAATCTCGTCAACAAAAATTATACAAGCTTCATCTTGTGCTCTGGCCCTCTTGAACAAATCCCGAACTCTTGCAGCCCCCACACCCACGATCGCTTCCACAAACTCGCTCCCACTCATTTGATAGAATGGCACCCCTGCCTCTCCTGCGATGGCCTTTGCAACAAGGGTTTTCCCTGTGCCTGGCGGTCCTTCAAGCAGCACTCCCTTTGGCGGCTTAGCTCCCAAATCCTGGTACTTTGCTGGGTCCTGAAGGAACTGGAAACAACACACAAACAAAGAACACACATGTGGATGGTGCAGATTGGAAAATTGCCCCACCATCCATTGCAGACAAGGATGCAAGCAGCTGGGATGATGGAATCCTGTGGCCACCTCCCCCCTCCACTCCAAAGAGCCCTTCTAAGCACAATTGTGCACATCAAATACTCCCTTGCCTCACCTTGACAATGTCCTGGAGATCGGTAATAATGGTGTCCAGGCCCGCCACATCAGAGAATTTTACATCTGTCCTGCCATCCATACGTGCCCGGCCCTTGGACTGGGCAAACTCCATTGCCTGCATGGGGTCTGTGGGCATCTGTTTGCGGGGTCTGAAGATCCCAACAGCCAGGCAGATACCCAGAAATGAGAACGCAAAACTCACAAACAACACAGAGGGGAGGATGTCCCAAAAACCGCGGAAGCTGGGTTCCTGAGCTGACATGTGGAAGGATACATCCAGCAGCTTGTCACCAGGGCAGTCATACTCATATTGTGCTTTCTGCACCCATCCCTGCTTGAGATACTCTCGAACACCATTGGGGGGCATTTTCTGTTCGTAAGCAAGGAAGATCTGCTCAAACACCTGTGCCATACAGAATGCAACATGGTCAGACACTGCCCAAGTTCTGCAAATTAAGATAAACAGGATGACCTGTTCTTGCATTGCATGACGGGGGGTAGCAACAGGGCATTCATTCTGTGCGAAGGACTTCTCTGATCGCAGCCAACTTAGGTCAAAGCTACACGAAAATCCTTGGTACTGTTTGCCACTGTCCAGAGCAAATCCTAGCTCCAAAACCTGGCTATGGACAGTGCACGTTTCTGTACCTGATTGTAGCCGTATTCGCTAGGAAGAGGGGCCTGCCGGGCAGGTGCTGGTAGTGTTGTCCCTACAGCCCTGGTCACAGAAACGTCGCGAACAAAGGTCTCCCTCCCCGGTGTGGGCATGTCCACCCAGAACTGTGACTTGTCAGCCTTCTCAACGATGACCCTGTACCCACTGAACGAGGTGCGGAAGATACGGCCACTATCCTTGAAGAACTCCAACTTCCATGGCTCTGCTTGGGGGTTGTACAGCTCGTTCACCCAGTTCCTTTCAAGGAGTCCACGATAGAACTCCATGAAGGGCATCTGGGGAAGCTCCGACCAGACTGGTTCATGGTCATATGCAGTGTCTCCCAGGACAGAGGGAGGGATGAAATCGAGCTTTTCCTCCACCAAGTTACCTTTGTCGTCCTCAACAAGAACATCGTGCTCAACACGAAGGTCGTCAAGTTTTGGACCCTTTTCAGATATGTTGGTCAGGTCCTGGGGTGACAACAAATGGTAGTATTCAGTCATGCACAATGGATCAACAGCAAATACGCCCAGAAAGTTTGTATCAACCTCGACCATTTCCTGTTGACGTCGCTAACTTCCCTTCAGTGCCCTTGTGGCAAAAACTCTCTCCAATCAGTTCTAGGGGGGGAAGGCCATTGGATATCGTTTCTTTTCTGTTGAAGCAGCAATTTCCGCCCCTGTGGCACCACCAGACATTTTAAACTGGGGCCCAGCGCAGCATGCGATCCCTTGACAACCTGCCCCAGCACCCTACCAATGTCATCATCATTTCAGCAAGTTCTTTCGCTGCCCCCTTGCCAGGGCATACATTGTCCACTTGGGGCCAAACCCACCACGCCGAACGATCCATTCCATTGGATTGCACAGGCGCACGATACTGACAACCGGATGGCACCCACGCTTCGTGCCTCCGCACAACAAACCGGCGACGAATGGCATTCGTGCGCGACGCCAGCGCGCCCGCAGTGCCTTTGGGGCCCAACTACCGTCAAACCTCCGATGGCCAAAAGATCTCTAGTGTCCTGCCCAATCGGCCGCCTCAGGCGCGACGATATCCGTCCAGAATCCCGCCGCCCCACTGCACCTCGGCTGCCTGCGCTGCGCCACTCTAACCACTGACATCAACGCGCGCTCGCCCCCAGCCCCTGATGGCCCCATCAGCTCCCCGCACGCCGCCCGCCGCAACCCCGGACTCCCAGCGCGACGCACCTTTGCAGTGAAGCGATCATTGGGATTGCGAATGGCCTCGGGCGGCTGCTGGCCATCCTCCCCACTCGTCTGTGCAGCGGGCAAGACATTCCGCAGTCAGGCGGCCTCACGAATCAGGCGCTCGGGTCCTGCGATCGACCCTCTTTGGCTGACATCGCCGCGAGCACGCACCGCCCAGCAGATCGGGTAGGTCCTAGCCCTCGCAGGCGCCAGCACCCTGGAGCGGTAGCAGTATGGCCTGCGGATGGGGGGCCGCCTACGGTGCCAGTGGCGATGCAGCGGCGAGCAGGGCAGGCCTCTGGCTGGGGGTCTAACAAAGAACGCCATTGCGCGGCATTTCTGCAGCCAGCGGCGGTGCCCCCCGTGCTTGCTGTCCCTAGGAACGTGCGCGGCGCGGATGGGGGAGGGGGGCGCGGGAAGGTCGACGGGCGCAGCGCCCAGTCGGATCCCTAAATCTTGCCTGGCCAACAACCCCCCGCTTCCGCCGCCCAGAGATTTCACTTGCATAATTGTAAATGCCATTTCGAGAACCCGGCGCTTTTCCCATAACGAGGCCGCTGGTTTGAAGGCCAGAACATCGCTGCCTCTGGGAAAGAACTCTTATTTTGGCCCCGAATAGCACCGCTCGGGGCCGAATAGCACCCCAGAATAGCACCGGTGCTATTCGCGCAGAACATTGTAGTGCTGCCGTGATGCTATTCGGCGTAGGCATAGCACCCACCATTGCGGATGCGCGCAGGGGAGCAATAGCACCGGTGAAATTCCAGTATTACATGAAAGCGAAGTGAATTGTCCCTGAGCCTAACCAACGTCGGGGCCCATTCACAAGAAATGCGAATAGCACCGGTGCTGTTCGGCAAATGCCACCTTAGTAAGGTGGCACGGCAGCCAATGAGAACCGTTCCTGGATAGCTCCGCCGGTGCAATAGCACCCACCGATGAAGATGCTCTAACGGTGCAGGTGCTTTCCACGCATTGTGTGAGCCCCCCTGGGAGCCCATTCCCGAACAACTTGGACGCCGTTGATGCCGACATTGACCGCCAAATGAAAATGTCCCAATGTGGTGCACATTAGATTCAGTGAATACAAATCGTGGACGCCGCTTTGCTTGGGCAACGGAGAAGCCCCCTTGCCTTGTTATGCAAAATTTCGTGACGATGATGGAAGCCAGTAACAATTGACAAGGTCCTGGTGTTGCCCAGCAAACCAGAAACGGGGGTGACAAGGCGTGCAGCCCCACAGGCTGGGCAGGAGTCTGTCCACCACATCAGAGACGCCGCCTCACGGTAACCGGAAGGCGGCTTGCGGCAGCGGGTCCTTTGTGCCGAACGCGCTGCCGCAGGCTTCTTGACGCCAATCGACGACACGGAGCACGCGTCGTGGTGTGCCCTGAGGACTTTGCAGGATGAACGTGCCTTTCCCGGGGCCCTATTCGGGGAAGAGCGCTCTGAGCGCGGTGGGTGGTGAAAAAGTGGCTGGATTAGAACGTCAATGGGAGGGAGAGCTTTTGAGCTTGTTGAATTTGGCGGCCATTGGGCTGTTCAGCTCGGGGTGAAAGCGCAGGACGGGGCGCGCGGTCACTGGTGCCTCGCTACGAACAACACCAACGCTGTTCACCATGCGGATAGAGGCTGAGGGAGTGAAGGAATCAGACCCGGCCTTGTGCCTCGCGGCGTGCGAGGCCTTGTGTTGAATCGGAGGGACCTGGGGCCCAGGTTCTCCTTGGCCGGTTCAGGCACGGTGACAGCCGAGAAAATGGCTCCCCCGGTGCTGGGGAGTCTGATCATTTGGTTTGGGTGGCGCTCCAGGTGTTGCGCGCGTCAGCATTTGGCGCAGGCCTTGTCTATGGCTGGACCAAGCTTTCGTATTTGAAGGTGAACCAACTGCAACACTCTACCAGGAACAACTGACGTGAGATCGTCAGAATATTGATGCAAAAAACAACAATTCAGTGTGAATGTTTAAATGGACTGCTACGGGAGGTCTTGTGTGGATCCTTGGTTGTCTGAACTTGGTTTCCGGTTGCTTGGGCAACTTTGCGACTATTTGAGTGCGCTGCTGCAATTGAAACGTTTTGTTGAAACAGCATTTGTTGAAATATGATAGGGAAAAGCTCAATCAGCCAGTGAGCGATGTGGGGATCTGCGTAATGTATCGTTTGGGTAATAAAGCAGATAGTGGTGTGAATTGGGGCTGAGTGGCAGAGTGTCAACTCTGCTGCTGCATTTGATCCAGGCCGCACATGCAAGAGAGATCAAACGGCTGCAGCAAGAAGCAAAAGGATGAGGATGGAAGTTTTCTGAATTGCCTTTGAAGGCAGGTGAGCCATGCCATGAGCATTGTCAGTCACAAACAATGTTGTGGTTCATACAGGTATGCACTGACAGTGGCCATCTTGGGCAACAAATTCTATTTTGCTAAACTGAGCGTTTCGCGACTTGCTGCTTGTTCGACAGAGCTTGCTAGTGGGAGTCAGTGTTGTAGCCCTTGTGTTAGGGCCCAAATGGCATCATCTTCCTAGCCCATCCCAGCATTCAGCATCCAGTTGTGCAAGGTTACAAAACAGAATCTTTGCAGCTGGAAGGCCACGCGGAACACGAGTTCGCCTGCAGATTGGCGGCAAATAGTGCCAACTATTGGTGCCAGCAGTTGGCTGAATGTTGTCATGTTCTCTGAATATCGCCACCACAGAACTAGCGGTGCTAGCATAGAGTGTCATCGTGCTCTGGGTAACTTACGTAATGCATTCCATCACATCAGTCCCTCCATTCACAACAACCATCTCATATGTCATGTCTAGGATAGGGCTTGGAATAAAAATCCCATCACAACATCTTCAATAGCACTAAAGTTTTGACTAGATATTTGACTTTGTGTCAATTTGATCCGTCACATGTTTGGATTCATTAGCTAAACACTGAGGAGTTATGTCCACCCAATCACGGGCATGTCAGACAAACTGTCATGCAAGCATCAAGGTGGCTCAGAAACTATAGTGCTTGGAGCACTTCAACAACTAATTTGGACCATTTGGAACACTTCGAATAGTCCATTGGAAGTTGTAGATGACTTATGTTCGAGCATGAGTCATCATTAGTGAACATTGGTAATCTTACTTCCTCCGTCCCAAAGAGGATGGCAATTATGGCTAGTAAGGTAATTGTGGCCTTGGAAAAGCCTATCAAGACATCTCTGATAGCGTTCAAATTTCTGCCAGATATTAAAATTTGTGTGAATTTGACCCACGAAATTTTTTGTTCAGTCGGCCAAGTACCAAAGGAGATATGGGCCCTCATACACATGCGTGTCAGACCAACTCTCTAGGTGGGCCTAATGGCCCCTGGACATGGTGAATTGGAGCCCTCACCACATAATGGAGAAGTGAGGGTTGCATACATGCTCCGGCATGCAGATCGGAGCAAATTTAGAGAGGTGCAAGGCGGAATGTTGGTGCCTCCTAAATTATGTAATCGACAAACTTGTCTATCTCTACACCACAACGAGACTTGCATGATATTTTATCTGACATGCCCGTGACGAAGGGATGATGTCTCCCTCAGTACTCGGCCGATTGATCCAAAAATTTGGTGGATCAAAATCGACAGAAACTTTAACATCTGGACAAATTTTGAGCGTTGTTGGAGGTGTTTTGATGGGATTTTTCAAGGCCTCAAATCATCGCTGACAAACTTTTTGGGACTGAGGAAGTACCATATTGTATTTGCCCATTATCGGTACCCACCCCTTTCTCTAGGGGTTCCAAACCACTTTAGTATCCACAACGCAATTTTAATTTCCACCTTAAAAGACTGGCCTGTGGTGCTTTGACATTGTGCATGCTTGTTGGCTGCACAATTGGCAGTGTGATCCTACTCTGTTTGGTGGAAATGATGTTGTTTGGTCGCCAAGCTACACCAACTGTGTCTGCCAGCATTAGCACAACTATTGTCCGTGATTGCTCTTCTTTACATCAATTTCAATACATCCTACCACCCCTGATTCGTCACAACCATTAGTACAGCCTGTCGCAATATGCTTGTGCATGCCAGAATGAACATATGCGTGTCCAAGCAATACTGGTGTTACAATCACCTGTACCCATACACATGTGCGCAATACATCTGTATCCACTGTTGCATCATGTCACAACACCCAGCATTTGGTAACATGTGGGCGTCTGGTGGCCATTTGTTATGCCCTGGCTGCAGTTGCTGGCAATGACGAAACAAGCCCGAGTGGTTACGTGGCGGTGAACATCATTCTCAAGGCCTTCAGTGTCGTTTCGTATATGCAGATATGACTTGAGATTTTGCAGCCTGAATCCCTGTGTACTGTCAAATCTAACGAACCTATGTATGTGTAGGATCTTCTTTGGAACTGAGCAGATGGTCTAATGGAAGATGGCTAGCCATTGGGCCATTGCGTTACAGCAGCTTGACAGCAAAGAGTTGTTTTACACAAAGCTTGGGGATTGTGTTGATGAACGCACAGTCTGATTGGGACTCGTTACTTTGTGCAAAGTTTCGTTTCTGGGCTTCATTTGTGTGACCCTGTTAACTTTCACTGGTGTTGTTATGGGCTGCAGGCGCATCTTCCATTAGTAGCGTTCCTGCCCTCCATGGCCCCTTGAACATTGCACTATTGGCTTGTCGTAATGTTTGGAGGGTTCTTCTTTGGATGACTTGTGCAACCTCTCTTTGGGCCCTTAGCTCCACCGGAACGGCGCTTTAAACATTGTGGCATGTGCTCATGAAATAGTGTATGCTGCGCAGATCTCGACGAGCATGTGACGGTATGTACTATCGACTGTGTACAACATTAACGATGTCGTATGGTAACTTGCAGCACGATTTGATTTGGCATCATGTGCTCTCCAGAGCTCCATGACCCTAGGCAGTTGGGGTGCGCTGTGCCATGCCAATCTTGGTACCGCAACAAAACTTCTCAGGCTGACATGATCCACCGCCGCCCCCACAGGATGCATCAAACCAAGGGATACCAAAGGAGAATTGGACACAATGTTACGAGGTACCAGGACACTGCGCCCTCGCCTTTTGGGGCCATAGTTCCGCAACACGCATTAGGTGCAGGTGGATCGATGTGTCACGTGCTTCAGTATTGCGGTCATGCACTGACCTATTTGCGTGTTGCTGGGCTGTTCTTTACAGAGCTGTGGTTGTTAGGCGTGCATCCGAGCAGAAGCAAGCAGACTTGTCTGGAATGGCGGTCCCAGCAGGCTGAACCCCCTGTTTTAGGTTGGTTTTAGACCCTAGTTAGAATTAGACTTGTTGCGACGAACACTCACACGTGGTCATAGGACTCCCCTTGTGCATGTATTATTTTCAATACCAAAACCGACGTAATGCCTTCCCTGAGACACGTGTGTCTAATCTGCGGGTGGTTGGGGCGCCAGTGCAGTAGCATATTAAACCCTTCTGCGTTGTAACGTAACGCTTGGCCTTTTGGTGGCGCCACATTAAACAAAATTTTTCAAGCAACATTAGAGATTGTAAAATAACGATCTGAAAGGAAAATGCGGAGCAAAAGCATTGCGGTGAAATTCAAAATTCGGAAGTGTTGATTAATATATGGTATGCCTTTTGACTGCATTGTGTTTGCATGGGCCACATTTGGCTCATCAGGTCCGAACGCGAGAACAGGCCGGCTTGTGCATTTTCTGGTTGCGACGCTCGTGTTTCTATCGCCGAAATGAGGAAGAAATTTCACACTCCACATGTGCCAATCATGTCGCTTAAGGTATTCAGCCGATTGTTTCTCACTTCAAGAGGAACAACCTTGCCATTCCGACTTCTTGCCAACTTCCACCTTTGAGGAGGCCCTCGTTGCTCAATGCCCAAATGGCCATCTGGATTACACGCAGGCAATACCTCACCACAAATCCTTGCACCGGTAACATCAATGCTGCCCAGTTCGCGAGCTATGCACAAACAATCTGAAGCCACAGCTCTGCAGCCAGTCACCTTCGACGTCAACCATGATGCTCCGTCATACAGCCACCTACCCTCAATGGTGCCTGATGAGGGAGCGCCGAAAGGCCCAGTCGCACTCCGGTGAATTGACACTCCCAATGACATTCCATGAATCCCTCACGAACATGACAGCGCCTCAACATAGGAATGCCGACGGCGGCGGTCCTCATGCTCGCTGACAGAAGCAATCCTTGCACGAATTTCCACCAAGTGCAATCGCAACAAAAAGTTTTCTGCACATCGTCAACTTCAAAAATTTGGCCACCCTAAATGCTCTGCATCGCCTTTCTTTTCTTCGCTCACAATTGCATCTTCTCGGCAACCCGTCACATGAAAGCAGTGCCCAATCTCGCAGCCAGCACCAGGGAACTGCATCCATGCGACAACTTTGCATCTTCTCAAGAAGCCTACACACACTTTAAACAATAAACTCCCAGCGACACCGGCAGCACCAACATCTACAATCCCCTAAACTAGGTGGCGCAGCGGCCAGAGCTCCTTCATCCAATCCCTTCTCACACTGGCACCACCTGCCCCATGGCCAGCCGGTGACACATGCCCCCACCACCCCCTTCACTAATTTTCGTTCCTTGGCATGACTGGTCCTTCCTAACCTCGAGCAACACCGCCACTTGACAGTGGCCCACCAGCCTGGCAAAGCTTCTGCCGACATCCCCAGCACAGCTTCATCAAGCCCAGGCCTGATTCTCAAGCATGGCCTCCGGGACAAGCACGCCGAAAACCCCTCCTCAGAACCCAAGTCCATTACCAGAGCCACCGTAATTCACAATTACCCTCAAAACCCATTACATCTTCCGTGCATCTTCTCAATAGTGTCACACCATCGACACACTAATTTACCGTCCTCTGTGGTCCTCCTCTGGAGCAGCCCCCCAGCGTGTAATGAGCCCATCCCCCAGTGTGTTGTCAGCCCAGATGCTGATAAAGGTGAGCGGGTGTCATTCGACAGGCGGCCCAACACGCAAGATGCCGTTAACCTCACTCACTTTGAAGCTCAATGCCGAATGCCCGCTCCTTGTCACGCAGAATCGGCTCTGGCAGTACAGTCGGGAGTAGTCCTGACGCAGACACGCCTATGCCATCAGAGTGGCGTTGTTGTGTGAGGATCCCTCCCATGAGGCTGCCGCAACATTCAATTGGCAGGTCCAAAACTCGCACAGTTTGCAGTGCACGAGCAACGGGTGTATTGCCTTCCGTGATACCAAAAACAGTCTTGCGAGATCACTTGGCATCGCCCAAGGTTCCAGTAGGTTGTTGTGTGGAATTACCATATTTGGACTCAAAGGAAGCATTGCTTGGATCCCTCCAAACCTTGCATCATCTGCATGGTGCAAGGGGTGTGTTTGTCATGGCTTTTTTCTGGCGACTGGAAGCCAAATCCCTATCAGGTGCAAGGGCAACGATTCACGTTTCTGTGATTGCCATCAATGCAGATTTGTGTCACTAATGACATTTGGTTGCCAGAGACTACAAATTCCGAAGCGTCAAGCCCTGGAATCTCCCTTTATATTTTGGGCGTGAACAAGTCATTCTCGCCATGCCAACATTGCCTCTCATCACCCGGCAGGTTCTGGCTATTCCGTTGCTCTGATCCTCAGCACAATTTCATGGTTTGGTGCTCTTAGTTGGTATATCTATTTCACTCTGCTGCAACGAGTTCCTGGCGCATTGCAATATGTATTTCCACCACTAGTGAAAAGCTTGAGACAAAATGGTAGTGGGCACTCATGCAGGCTTCGTATTCTACATTGCTGCTTCTTGCGGGCATGTCCATTGACTGCAGCACAGTTGTGCTTCCTGGACTCTTTGTGGCATCCTCAGACTTCCATCTGGTGCTTTCACAGACCTGGCTTTGGTGGTGAAGCTGAGTGTTGCAGGCACTGTAGCAAAGTGATTAACAGCATCCACACAGAGAGGAATGGGGATGCAGTTGCTAGTCAGAATACATTCAGTATCATCACCAGAAAGTGCAGTGTCACAGCTAAGTAAATCTTCAAAACATATCCACAAGTTTCCATTGAATCCACCATACAGGGCACCCATGTTCCGCCAAAACCAAAGTAAACACGAAAAGGAAACACAAAATAGAACAAGCACAGGTGTGGGTGCAGGCAGCCAGGCAGTCAAATGCAGCAATAAGGCGATGATGGTGCACTAGCCTGGTGCAATTCACTCCTTGACACCAGTGGGCACAGTCAAGAGTCGGCCAGTGGATTGCAAACTTGGCCATCATACAATACATTTTTGGACTTGCAAGGCAGCAAAGGTGTTTCTGACCCACTGAGATACACTAGACAAAGCATCCATGCCAAAATACCCCAAAGGAAGCTCTACCAGAGATGAACAGAACTATTCCCCATGGCTCATGATCACAATCCATTCAAATCTCCTCAAAATGCTAGCCCTTTTCCTCGCCAAGATGTACACTGGGTTACAGGAGGGATTCTGGGATTTTTGGACAGTGCTGATGGGCACATTTGATTCTGGGATCTCAGACATATGTTGTTCTTTTTGGCAACCATGGTTACGATGCTCCCTTCTAACAAATGGAAACATCATACAATGGGCATTTCCCTCCTGGGCAAGACCTCTTGTTTAGACTCTTTTCCATGCTATGAAACATGCTGTGAAGTCTCTGTGAGCAAGCAGAAAGCAAAGGCAAAGGGCATGTTTGGCCTCCTTCAAACACGGTGCAAAGTGCAGTGACTGACATACTGCAGTACCCAACAATGCAGCACAGCAGCCAATTAAATAGGATGAGGCTGGGCTCAAGAAGAACAAGCAGGAGAGCATGACAGCAACCAATGTGAAGCTATGTACCATCCATGAGGTAGAAAAGCACAAGAGCATAAAGCGAAGTCGAGGCTGTACCGTGGCAACATTGGACAGCTTGGGGACCTTCACTATCTTGGTGGTCTTCAGTGGGTAGCCCAGGAGGACTCCAGCTGCAAGAATGCCAACAACATAGCGAGCAGGCTGCAGTCCATTCAGCTTGGTGTCGAGGGTGACTGCTGGCTGCAGCAGAGAGTTGGATAATAAGCCCAACAGCAACTGTTCCAGCAACTGAAAGAACAATAGCAACAGACATGGCAGGCAACGATGGCTTTGTATCTGGCTAGAAGGTAGCAATGATGGCAAAAGGATCATGTCAGTGCTGGTGACAGTGATGACTATTCAGCTTGATTGCCAGGGAAATCATGCCTGTGTTGGTGCTAGTGCATGCATCAGCAAGCTATTTATTTAGATGTATGGATGCATCCAGCCTGTTTGATGGCCAAACGACAATTGTCATGCATGATTATCAGTGCAAGAAGCTATGGGGGGTGTCCAGGTGGCACAGTCATGCGAGCAAGAAAGAAAAGAGGCATCCGCAACATTTATTGCAAATTGGGGCAAACACAGCACCATGTGGCAACACAATGTGACAGGCATCAACAACTAGGAACCTCTGGCATAACGTGGTGGTGGTACGGGAGTCTTGCTCCTGGGGCACACGAAGGGGAATAGAGCATGAGCCAATCGACCCCCGAGTAGTCATTCATTAAATTAACGATACAATTATACAATAACAAATTAATTGTTCTATCCAGTACCCACATATTCGCTCTCTGACCACTCAGAAGTCCCAGTTTATACTCGAATACATCAAATATCATCTAATCTAACCATATTGTATCATTTCTCCCCCCTCACAAAGTGTGGACATCCTCGGCCATGGAGACACAACATGCAAAAAGGTTGAACAAACAGAAGATATGAGGTACCTAACAAAATCCCAGAAAGACCAAGTCCCATATGTCCCGTAACACAACTCAATCTATTACAGAATCCTGTTATCTAGTTCTCCACCCAGTCCATCACTTCCATCACTCCAGTAGTCCAGGCAATTGGACAATGTCTTATCAAATGCCCTAAGAAGATATTCTGCTCAAGGGCTTGACAGTCACAAGGGGTGGCCTTGGCGTTTTGGTGGCTTTATGCAACTATATTCCCTTTTAAGCCACCACCATATACCTCACCAATTCTGCATATCACAACCTCAAATGTTGCCGACCATCAACTCTATTGTAGGTGGGTTCGAAAACACAATGTACCCCACATTTCCTACTTAAAACATCACTCGCGTCCAGTGACTCACATGCCAAGGCCTCTGCTTTTACCACCACAGCCTCGATCATCTCCCACACATCTGCGACCTCTACCTCTGCCTCCGTCTTAGCCTCTTTATTGCTCCACTACTATAACTAAATCATATCCAATTAGCTAAGGCTGCTACTATTGTTGACTGATTGGATAAACCTACTACTACTGGTACTGGCCACATCGTCACCCATGTCCACGTCCATGGTTTCTGGACTGGTCACTCTGACCTCCGCTCTTACCCTATGATTGTTTTCAGCTCACTCGTTGTAGACTAAAAAAGTGAAGAGTAGTCACTATGGCTTGTTTAGGTTCATCGGGTATCCATGATGCAATAGTAGATCTCAAGGGCTCTTGGAGGCTCAATAAACTAGTAATATAACTCAGCATAGGACATGTTAGGTAGCCTAAAACCTCACTTCTGAAACTCATAAACATAGACCTCCACTAAATGATATTGACAGAGGCTATGCAGCTTCCGCCTGGCCTGCTCAACAAGTGTGGCCCACTCACACGTGTTCTATAATTCAGTCGTGAACTCATACCAGGCAACAAATGGTGCGCAGATTCCTTAGTGGACTTATAACTCCACCAAGTTCATCCATGAAATCGCTGAATTAGATAGATTTGCAGACATAATTGCCAACCACCTTGCCTCATCTACCATATTCCTTCATAGCCATTGACAAGTCGCCAATACCCATTCAATATAGCTGACATCCTCATAATGTCCTTAAGTTGGTTAGGCATTGGGATTCTGAGTCTCCCAAAGCCAATATCAGTAGAGATAAGGGCAACAACTCTGACTCCCAGATCTGGTGACCCACCTCTACATGACCGCTGACTCCCATTTATCCATGTACCAACATCGTCACCGCCATCTCCTCCACCACCATCATCAGACGGCCCACCATGCAGGTCATTAGGAGGTGACCTTTTGGGCGGTCTCCTCGGTGGTGCATACCCACCTGCTCCTCCTCTAGCACTGCTACCTACTGTGCCATATGAGCCTAGGCCACAATAGGGATCATCCGACATTCCTTGCCCCCAATATGAAGATTGCAAGATTATACTTCCGAGATTATCTCACAGACAATCCTTGACCAAATGTGTTCTCGCCACTCCTCTACGATGGGATTCCACTCTGACCAACTCGACGTACATGGGCAAAGTGACCAGCTTGACCGATCAAAGTACGCATTACTGGAGGCATCATTGGTACTGAAAAGCTGGGACAATTGGCCAAAATTCCTAAATTTTCTGGCCTCAAAACACTCTCTTGCATTGTAGTATTTAGGACAATAAGGGTACCTAAGTACTGCCCGAAGGGAATTTGGGTATTTTCCAAATATCCAACAGCTCATATTGTCTGAATTCCAGCTCATGGCACCAACAGATAGCGGTAACGCTCCGCTCCTCACACCTTTGGGGGTGTTACAGCCCTCCGTTACCCCTGGGGTGTATAACCCCCTAGATTAAGTAATGTTTTGCGCACGCCCAACAACATGACAATATCCTGTTGTCTAGCCATGCCATGCTCGACCAAATCCGTAGGTGATGGCTGCTTCCTCCGAAGCGGCGCACGTGGTGAGCTTGAATCCGCGCCGGGGCTCAGCGTTGCTGTGGCTACCCGCACGTCCAACTGCTCAATGACGCACTTGATATCCGCAAAACTGCTCTCCATGGTCACCGCCCGCTGAGCATGGTCCGCCTCCATCACATGAACTCGGTCGCAAACCATCTCCATTGCATTTTGTTGAGCTTTAACAATTGTGCCAAAGCTGCCAAGGGCTTGGGCAGCTTTGCGTTGCCATGGCGGGCATTCATGGCCTCCTCGGAGGCTTGACCGGCGGAGGCTTTTATGGCCATGGCCTGCCATTTTTCCGCGTTGTGCTCCCCCTCGAGGGCTGCCAACTGCTGGCCTACCTCCACGACCTCCTCCCACGTCCTCACAAACTGCTCGTTATCCATCACGCCCGCTAATTTGGCCTTATCCTCCAATTGTTGGTTGTGTGCCATTAAGCCTGCCTCCGCCTTCGTCAACCGCTCTCCCACTGCCTCCATCCACCGGTCCATTTCGGCAGTAATCCATTGTTCCATCCATCGCCGGTTTCCTGCATGGCGGTTTGCATCCGCCGCAGCCCTCCCGCTTGCCTTTCCACCCATCGCTGCACATCCTCCAAACCAGCGCCAATTACCGAAATGGCCCCTTCCTGGTGGGCCATTCGGCCGCACACTCCCTCCTATAAGTCGCACAGCTCATGGCCTCGAGATTGCTCCGAGGCCGCTACCAAATTCCTTGTAGCTTGCAACTGCGCCTTCATCACCTCGGACATGCCGCGGAGGGTGGCACCCGTCCGATTCTACACGCCTTGGGTCCACTCAATGACCATAATCATGGTCGCTCGCCATGCAGCTCCCGCGGCCATAGCCCCCACTTGCCGCAACATTGAGCATTTGGGCCGATCATCCTCCCCGCCATGCGGTGAGGCCACCATTGCCATGCCGTCACCATTCAGCTCCACCGGGGTCGCATCACCCCGGTAAGGTACCATTGCTTGGTGCGCTTGGTCCCTCCGATCCCCATGGTCTGGGCCATGATCCCCCGACGACATCCTAGCGGCTGGATCACCGTTTCTCGTTGCGCAAATGCCCCTCGCTCCGGAGCCAGACAATACGGGAATCTTGCTCCCATGGCGCATGAAGCGGAATGAAGCAGGAGTCAATCGAGCCCCGAGTGGTCATTCCTTAAATAGACAATACAATTATACAATAACAAACGAATTGTTCCATCCAATAACCATATATTCGCTCTTTGATCACTCAGTCATCCTACATTATAATCAAACGCATCAAATACCATCTAATCTCACCACATTGTATCAGGTGGACTGTGCCAACATGTACAACACAGTAGCACTGGTACACTCTGGTGTTATGATGCCAGATTTTCTGCGATGAGCATAGGTTCTATTGTGTAAAGTACTTCAAGGCCACAGCACTTGGGCACTTTGGGTTCCACAGGACCAGTCATAAAATGTTACATTCTCATCCGAGTGTGAAACAAGTTGAATCATCTAGATAGCAAGAACTGTTTCTTGTGCCTGTGGCAACTGTGTGATGCATGAACGGCACCCCTGCATTCAAGAGTGCTCCTTTTGGTGACCAATCTGCTGCAGATTGCAATCCAAAATGATCAAAAATAGATTCTTCACAATTTGGCTGGCCCTGTTTGTTCAAATGGGACAACGAAAATGCCATATTTTGTTGAAACACGTGTGGGGCACACACAATTTAGTAAACAAATCATTCAATGAACAGGTTATCATGAACAAGTGAACTGCAAATGTCGGACTCAAGCAAGGGTGAGTACAACTTTTCATTTTGCAACAGCATGCTTGACTGCCTGTTGCCTGCACCTGAGAGTGGATGGCACTGATGAGACAGATGCACACCGACTCACTTCTACAGTGACAAAGCAATTCCCAGCACCTGTCATGCGTTGTCGAGCTGCATTCAAATGCACCAGCAGTCACCCCTATGTTAATCATACTTGCCTATGAACTGCCTATACCTAACTATGATCATACCTGCCAATCTCTTATGCACAGTCAACACTGCCTAACATGACTGTGGTATTAATACCTACATTGATAGTGGGTGAGGTCATCTCCAAGAGGGCACCTACCGAATTATTCTTAAAGCTGATCTTTAGAGTTGGGGTGAGGGCCAAGCCAAACTCGCCCAACTGCATGGTGCATGGCCTCTCAAACCTTACAGTGTTGTGTGTGACATCGACTCGCAGCTGCTTGTTGAACTGGAGGTTTACAACAGCCAAAAAACGTCAATATTCTGTGCAGAACTTCATTAAGATTTGCAGCAAGTGGAGTGGCACACGCCACAGGACATTCTTGTTTGCAGAGACACCATTCCCAGCCACCACAACACAGGCACCAAAATCCACATAGTCAAAGCCACCCTGCCAAGTATCATGCAGGGTTGGTTCATGCACAAAAACAATAGAGAAAGATACTGCCCCCCTTTGCTCATAGACTGGGTGTGCTGGTGGTTCAATTTGCGCAGCAATGCAGGACCATACAATGGATGTCAGAGTCCTAGAAGAAGAGCCAGTTAAGAATGCGATGTTGGCCACTGCATACAACTGGCCACAGATATGCTCTGGGACCAGTCCTTGAGTTGCTGCCTACACATGTATGGCATACTGCCAGAAGGCCCGCATTGAACACATTTGCCAGAATGATGCATTGCTGGATATGATTCTATTGGGCTGTGACATGTCCCTTCTCCAGGTATTGGTAATTGCATGACTAGCCTAGTCAGCTTGCAGGCAGCACTCCAGGAAAAAGCATGACAGGCAACTGCAGTCTATGCCAGTTTGTGCAATATATCAGCAAATCAAAAATATGAAGCAAGACTTGACATTGCACTGTATCTGGTGGAATGTAAGGAATAGCAGTTCGGCATGGGAAGGTGTGGCCACGATGGGTGTGCAGGTCGATGTGCAGTCCCAACAGCAATTCACAACAAGCCACTCTTTGGGTATTGTAGTCAGGAGGCTACAAAATCAGCACAAGGCAATACCAAGAGCATATGCTGGGCACAGGAGATACTTCAGGGCACAAATCGGGTATCGGCAGCTGGGCGCACTTTGTAGGTGAACTGCACCACAGGGGTGAGCTTGTAATTCTGAAAGCAGTAGTCGCCCCCCACTGTCATCTGGAGTTAGGCACACAGCACAATCAGTTATATGCCACCTGAACCTCACAAGTGGAGCCCATGGCGAACATAACCTGTGAATGCATCAATGCAAAATTATGGACTGCTTCATAGACAGTGACAAAACACAACGGTATCACATTTTTCATAGTGCAGTATCCATCCAGGTACCAATCGTGTTCAGATGTGTCCATCTTTCCAAACCTCTTTGCCAAGCAATGATAAGGAGACCAGTGCCAAAGGCAGTTCTTGATGCTGGCTCATGGAATCGTGCCGAAGGTCGTTCTTCTTTCAAGGTACAAAAAATATGCACTTGCGCTGAATGCATCTGCCGTGCTTGACAGCAACATGAATTCTGAGTTTGGATCACACAACATCGGTATTCTTCTACATGCTTTGCAATGAACAATATTGATTGATTCAGGGGGCGAGATTCCTGGATGTGGGTTCGTTAAAGAGCTGTCAGCGCGAGAGGGAAAAGAGTTGTCATTAGATTCTCTGCCTCCCTGTAATCCGATGAAGAACACTTCCAAAGTTCCAGCAGGATTTCGGGTGCAGATCGACTCACGTAGAGCTTTTCCTTCAGCTTCCAATCCTGAACACGGCAAAGGGGCACATCCAAACGTCAGCAGCTTCCAAAGAGGGACAACACAACACCGGTGGAAAGCGTGCCTTTGCGCCGACGGCCGCGGCCAAGTGGCACATAGCAAGAGCACGCGCGAATCCGCAGGGCGGCACCACTGGCTGCAGATCGCCAAGATTGGGATGCAACCCCGCCCGTGTGCAGCATCAGAGATCAAGGCGCCAAGTGCGCAAAGCCAGCGCGCCCTACCGCTGACAACGATCCATGAGCCCTAGCCCAGCTCCGCGGCTCCAATGCCAAATGCGTTCTCAAATCCCCAGCCGGATTACAACCCCTCACCACCGCCCATCCCATCACATCCAACCACCCACCCTCCCCGCCGCGGCAACCCCGAAGCCCGAAATCCAATTACGCCCAGTACAAGCAACCCCACAACTCAGCCGCGATCACGCGACAAGGCGATCAATCGCACGCGCACCTTCCGCAGCTTCAGGCTGTTCTTGAACCCCCGAAAGTTGAGCAGGCTGTTCCAGAAGCCGGTGGGCTCGGGGTAATACGAGCTGGCGTTGCTGATCGTCCTCTGCAGGCCCCGGCTGGGCGTGCCCGCCCTGGAACGGTCCCCCTCGCGCATCACCCGGGGGGAGTCCTTCGGATTCGTCATGCCCAGACGGCTGTGGCGGCCGCTGGGCGGCCTGGGCCGAGCGCGCTGCCGCGGGCTGCCCTCCGCGTGTGTCCCCTGAGGCCCGTACGCCTGGCCGCGGGCTGGCAGGGGCTTGGCTGTGCCGTGGGGGTTGGCGGTCTTGGCGAGGGAAAGGGATGCCAACCCGCCCAGCTGCCAGTTGGTCGACGTCGAAGATCAGCTGATGTGGAACTCGGCAGCGAGCCTGTTTTTTTATGCTCCTTGCGCCTGCGATGGCAGTGATTCTGCAGTCAATCGGAGGATGTCGTCTGTGAGAATATATTAGTCCCTCTGTCTTTTCCGTGACGATCCCTTCCCCCGTTGACAAGGCCAACACCAGTCAGTGGGTCAGTAGTTTAGGGTTTAGTGTGTTGTCACACCACGCTCGCAAAAATGGGTACAAGAACGAGTATGATGTCCAGAGATGAAAGGGAAGCTTCACCGCAACTTCTTTAGATGCCTCCGCCTGCCATTGAATACAAATTACCATCCTTTAGTACTTAGGGTAGAAGGTAGTACGCCACACGCCCACCCACTGCACCGGCGACATGTCACGAAGTACTCCCCACATCCCCTTGGTTGTGTTCCAGTACTTAAGGGGGCGTTGTATTCACCGCCGTACCCACAATAGTATATTGTGATGGCAATACGGTGCTAGTCACCCGCCCCCCTCAGTGATCCCCACTGCCTGTACCTCACGTAAGGCAGTAGCGGTCGCGTGGGGCGCCGGTACGATTAGTCATTCACAACAGGGGGTGCCGGCCCCGACCGATCCGCCTCCACCACGGTTACGTGACTCTTGGCCTAGACCTCGTACATGTCACGCTGGCCATCAGCTTCTTCCCATCACGATCCCCACCAACATGCGCCACTTTCTGCGATGGAACATGTCCGCACGCCTGTACTCCACCCACGACCGATTTGCGAGCTGTCACCTCCCCCCACATAGCGATCAATCATTGCCATGCTTGCCTCACTCACCTGTTGTGACACCCAATCGAATCGGTTATCGATCCCGCCGGCCGTTAGCAATGCGGGCGACCAGATGTTAGGATCCACCATACGAGAGGGTCGGTCATAACTTCTAAGCAAACCAGACCAACCAGCAAGCACACTCAAACAGCACGGAAGCAAATCACAATGGTTACAACTGCCAGGACTTGCAACTCACGGTTTGGTCTGCCCCCTGACATGGGCAACTCCTTTAAATAGCCTGCGGGGGGCAACAACATGCCCTCCCACTCCCACAACGGTTCCAATAGAAGTGTTCAAAAACTACATTCGAAACTATCCTAAAACTCCCCCCAGAACTGCCCAAAGAGCTGCCGTTTTAGAACGAATTTTGCCCAATTCTTTAACCTGCCATGCACACCTTTGCAACCCGTTTTCTCATAGCACAAACCATGCCCCACATCAGTCCATTTGGATTGCGAATTCCCTTGTTTTAGGGCATGAAACCGGGCTGTAAAAGAGGACAGAATCGCGCTGCATTTCAAAGAGAAAATCCTACAACTATGTGGGATTTCTCAATCTCCCAGTCTCGTCGCTGCACTCCTGGACCCACCGTTGCCCAAGTTAGAGCTGCATCCAAATGGCGACCTTCGCCTTCAATAGGTTCTTGATTGTGGTGTTTTGGATAATCCCATATTGTTGCGGCCCCATCGGCAGCCGCTGGTTTCCGGAGGCGTTGGGGTCGCCCTGCCCTGCAGCTCGGCTGTTGGAGGTCAACCGGCCCTCTTCACCTTGGACGGTGGGCGTATCCGGGGCAGTCGCTCCTATGGTCGCGCGGTGGGCCCAATGCTTGACGGGGATCGATCCCCGGGGCCTGCTGTCGGCGAGAGGTGGCGGCACAGCACGATGGTGGTTTGCTGGCTCGCGGGAGGCCAAAGAGTGGGCCAAAGGATGTTACATGGATTCACTACATGCGTGCGCACATATTGCATGCGCGATGCCCGATCGCGGGTCCATCGCAGTTACATCAAGATAAGACAGGTCAAGTGCGCGTCCAGGCACATTGCCACCGTCCACTGTTCACCTACGATCGACCCAATGTCCTCTAATTCCAAGCATCTCACACCCGACCCCCTGGCCCTAAGTACTATGACTTTAGAAGGCCATATCTTTGTCAATTCTTAACAGAATCGGGCGTTTAAAAGCTCGTTGGAACCAGGAAGCTCTAAATGTTACGCGCACTGGCCTGATGTAGGGGACGCCCTACTACTGGCCCTTGGTGTGGGGGACGCCCTACCCAAGATCGTATTGTATTCCTTGTCCTACGGTAACCCTTATACTTATAAGGATATGGGATTAGGAGGGGTGGTCCCGCCTAGGTCCCCGTAAGGACCTAGGTGCCCGGCGAGGCGGGTCCGAGGCTCAAAGAGGGCAGGCGCCCCACACCCACAGACTTTTCGTATCATTTGGTTTCGGAGCCACCTGAGGGTGGCTACCACGCTTCCGCCTGGGCGGACGCGCAAGCGTGGAGCAACGGGCTCCCTCCCCGGCCTCCACCATGGAGGCCGAGGAATCAGACAGTTCTGCCCGCAAGGGCACCCCCGACACGTCGGGAGAGGTTGACACACCCCGGGAGGGGACACCGACTTCGGTTGGTGAGATTAAAGCCCGGGATGGGCAAGGAGGTGAAAAAGTCCGGGAGGACACGGCTGGACCCTCCACAGCCACTCCGCCACCCGTAGAGGAAGATGAACCAATGGGGGAAGCGAGTGCCCCACCGGCGGCGGAGAAGAAACAAGAGCAAG